CCAATTGCCATCAAGAAAGAGACCAGAATCGGAACTTGTGTACCAGTAACTTCCATAATTCATCAGACAACTTCTGATAATTCCAACGACAAATTTGAGCAAATGATTGCAGTTGCTGGTCAATCTCTGAATCAGAGAAAATGAAAATAAAGAAATTTCTTCGATGATATCGTGACATTTTTGTACCAAAAGTAGGAAAAACAGGAAGAACTTCTGTTGTAAAACACAAAATTGACACTGGTGACGCCAGGCCGATTCGTCAATCAGCTCGAAGATTACCAAAGGCCAAGAGAGAGGAAGCTGAAAGGATTGTTCAGGAAATGAAGGAAGACAGGGTGATAGAACCTTCTACCAGCTCTCTCCGGTAGTCCTGGTCCAGAAAAAGGATGGAACTACGAGGTTCTGTGTGGATTACCGTCAGTTGAACAAGACAGTTACCCTCTACCTCGTATCGACGATACCTTGGACACATTGGCCGGAAGTAAACTATTCTCTACCTTAGACTTAAAGTCTGGATACTGGCAGGTGGAAATGGACCCAGTAGACAAAGAAAAGACAGCTTTTACCACCGGATCTGGATTGTGGCAATTCAATGTTATGCCATTTGGATTATGTAATGCCTCCGCGACATTTGAAAGACTTATGGAAAATGTATTGAGGGGGTTATTCTGGAAAACATGCCTGGTGTATTTAGACGACTTCATAGTCTTGGGGAAGACATTTGATGAACATCTAAAAAACTTGGATGTTTTTAAAAGACTTCAAGCTGCCCAACTGATGCTAAACCCCAAGAAGTGGCAACTATTACAAAATAAAGTTAATTACCTTGGTTATGCAGTCAGCAAGGATGGCGTGGCTGTAGATAAGGCCACTCTTTTATCAAAGAGTGGCCACAACCAAAGGATAAACACCAAATAAGAAGTTTTCTTGGGCTTTGTACGTACTACCGAAGATTCATAAAGAAGTTTGCAGATATTGCTAAACCACTAACGCGACTCACAGAAGAAGCAAGAGAATTCTGCTGGGACGAAGACTGCCAAACTGCCTTATCCTTATAGCCAATATTAGGCTACCCACTACCAGAGGGAGAATTTATTCTGGATACTAATGCCAGTAATGTGGGAATTGGAGGAGTGTTCATAGATTAAAGGGGGAAACGAAAGAGTACTGGTTTATTTTAGTGAAGTGCTCTCGAAATCTGAGTGAAATTACTGCGTCACGAGAAGAGAACTCCTGGCAGTTGTTAAATGCAAATGCGTCATTGTTCTGCTAAAATTATGAATCAAAGTAACAATTGCGGACAAAAAGGAAGCGAAAAAAAAATAGTTGTAGGTATCATTTTATTATATAGTTTTTGGGGACTAAGCTAAACTAGATTGTAGATTAATTTATGCGAAACTAAACAAAGTAAAGTTACGTCGTTGTCGCACTGGAGTTATAGTTAAAGTAATTCAAATTACGCCAAATTTCACAATTGCGTCGTTGTTCCATCGGACACCAACACAGACTTGATAACATCAGACAAAGCTGAATCAAGCGGCGATGTTCTTCTAAAATTATGTTGATATTTCGACAACGACGCAACTTGCTCTAGCAGCCATTATAAAAACTACAGTTACGTCGTTGTTCTCCCATATGTGTTACGTATTTTTGAGAATAGTGAAGTACTTAATTACAATTACCAAAATTTTGCAGTTACGTCATTGTTCTTCTGGAACAGCGATTTCAATTTCGTGAACGCCATTCTGGGTCCAAATGGCAATTTTATTTGATTTGTCATGGCTTTCCAAAGAAAGTGACTTCTGAATTTCAAATCGACTAATTTCGGAAAATAATCAATATTTCAATATCCTGAGTGAACTAAATTGTAAGTAAAGGTTGAACTTAGGTCGTCTTGTTATTTATTTTTTCTTATTTGTTTGAAATCGAGGATAAAATAATTTAAGATTAAATAAAATGGGGTTTTTTACATGATTTATTTTTATTGAAAACAAATTTATCAATTTTCAGTAGTAAGACAACCTAAGTTAGACATTTTTCTTTAATATACTAAATCATGTTTTTTGTGTAGTTATTGTTAAATATCAATTATTTGTGGGGTTTCTTCTGTTTTCCAATTATACAGAAAGAATTTGTAAAAAAAATTAAGATATATACTATCATTAGTGGTTTAACTAGAGAACTAAAAATCCAATACACATTTTCTTTCAAATAAATGAATACAGTTTTTTCTAGGAAAATCGAGGTTTAAAATGTCAGTATTGATACTTTTCTTTTACAGCTGCATATTTTTTCATGTTCTACAAAATGAAAAAACAGGCTTTTAAAACCATAGTGTTTTTAGCATTATTCGTTAATCTGCTGCTAGTATACATTCCGTTATCACTTGGAAGCAAATTTTAATCTACCTATAATACCCAAGGCCAAGTTTTATCGTATGCAGTGTTACTAAATTACATAATTTTGTTAATAGCTTTTGTTTATACTGTATTGATAGTAAAAGAACAAATTGATTATACTGTTTAATTTTTGTTTGTAGGAGATTACACTTTAATACATTTTTCGGTGTGATGGTTGACCCGTCAAATGATCAAAATGTAATCAAACATTTTTATATTCAACAACTAATCAATTAATTTTTGTGACTCGAGTTTTTACAAATTACTTGTCCGTTTAATTTCAATATTCTAATGTAAACTATAGGATGATTTAATCATTTGGTGAAAGTTAATTCTTAGAAATCTATCAGCATCAAAACCTAACAATGCAAAACTCAAATATGAATCAAGTTTAAAAAAATAATACAAAAGCTTAGACTAATAACCTGATAAAAACGTTTCTGTTTCCCAATCGTCTACCATTTAAACTCACGTGATTTGGTGTGCCTAATTCTTTAAATTTCTTGTTTTTTCTGATCACGTTGAACATTCGTTATAACAGCCTCTTTTATGCCGCCAAATGTTTTTACTTCCATTGATAAGAGGCAAGTATTGTAATCGTGAAAAAATCACCAAAAGTAAGGTTCTTCTCTGGCTCAAAAGCAGTCAATCGTTCAATAACGGTGTACGTGACGAAGAACACCGGGCAGACGTGAAATGAGACTTCCGGTGGGATCAAAAGGAAGATCAATGAAAACGGTTTTGGTTTGGAGGTTTTAATTTTAAATTTTTAAAATATAAATGCTTAGGAATCCCTGTTTTTACAATTTCTATATTGAGGAAGTTCTGGATAAAAACACTTCACCTATTATTTTAATTTACGGATAATTTTATACCAATTTAATATGAAGAATTAAATGTTTTAAGTCGATTGCCTCATGTCACATAAACACGTTACAAAACATGCACTATTGTAGATAACAAAAACAGTAAATCATTAATTTGGTAAAAATTTAAGTTACAAGGTTTTTTTTTAAATATAGGTATAATTAAAATAACCTTGAAATAAAACATTTTTTTTTTCAAATAAAAATATTTAGGTAAAAGGGGAAAATAATATTTTGAAAATAAATTCTTTCATTATCTCTATTGTTAATAGCTAAAAAAACTTATTTTAAAAACGTTTCCATGACAAAAAAAATAATTCCGGAAATTTTCCTCTTGGTGGGTCTACGAAATTATACTGGAAATTTTTTTTTGAAATTTGAGAGGTGCTTCTATTTTAGGAAACTAAGTTAATAACTGGATTTGGCGTAGACCAAATGTCAAATTTTGCAAATTTAATTCATCTCCATCAAGTTTTACTGAATACCACACGTGCCTACGTTATTACATGCAGACGTTTTTGCTTACTCACGAATATTTTAAAAAAATTATCGTGAGTTCTATAAAATTTCCAAAAAAAAGTCAAAGCTATTTTACTGAAATTGAATTAATTAATTTTGCGATTAAGCATAAATCACATCTGAAGGCCGTTGGTATTTCCCCTTTTCGAATTTGAAAATTAAGCAAATACATGACAAAATAATTTATTAAGGATTTAACTTTTTTCTTGTTGCAAAATTTATTACAACATCGTACCCAGAAATTTATATATTTTTTTTATTGGTATGAATAGTAGGTACGTTGAATCAAGTTTAAAAACAATGTCCTTGCAATAATAGTTCAAAAGCGCCAAGAATACGTGCTCGGCAATTTCATAATGTTTGCAATATTTGTTACATTTTTGTATAATAGCCTCCACAATCAACGGCGTGTATATGGGGGGGTTACAAGGTAATTAAATATATTTATTTTTTAATCTTTTGCGATGGTACATTATGTTAATTGATAAAGGTATTACGCAAACCAGAACTGTTTTTATGTAGATCTTAAAATAATACTTTTTAAAACCAACAATACCACGTAGGTGCCCTTGAATACTTTCTTCCAAATACACTGTTTGAATTTTATTAATAACGTTTTAATAATTAATCATTAATCAATATTTACCGATAGTAAAATATTCTCATTGATTAATTCATAATTTACAGATACCTACCTATAAATTTTATATCATAGTATTGCGTACAATATGAACAGGTCATGATGACATTGGAGTTTTGACTAGTAACTATTTAGACATCACGTAAATACCCATGTTACACCAAATTTAATGTTTTATAATAAAATAATACGTATATAATAAAAATAGGAACCACTTTAAATAAAAAACGAACTACGCATAACGCAGGTAATAATAAAGTAAAAACCTTATAATATAGGTTGGTTCTATAGGCCAGTCAATAAAGATAATCATATTTTGAACATTTCACATTACCAAAAGTTTCAACCATTTCCAAGGCCCGGAACAAGTTTTTGAAACAGCCATTCCAATTTGAAATGTTTTATTTTGCACAGAAATATTTTTTTTTGTAAAAATATATAAAAGACTAATGACTGGTCTACTAACAAAGGCCACTAACCATGTGAATTCCGAGTTTTTATATAAAAATCTCTATTATATATATTTTTTTATTGTTTGAATACTGGACTTGATAGTAACAGTTTTTCTTGTTCCAGGAATTGTCTGCGCCGCATTGCGAGACATGATGACACAGAATGTTCCAACCAAAGCATCCTGACCGTAATGGAGAAATTCGTCAAAACAGTCAACAAAATGGACGAAACAATACTAGTGCCTTGTCGGCTAATGGATCTTAAAGTCGGCGACGAGCAAGATCCAGCTTGTCAAAACCCAAAAACAAAGTCATCCCATTCCGTACACCAAAATCTCAGCTCTACCGACCTCTTCGAAATCTATAACATGCTTAACGGGGTGAAAGATTCATTACTGTGGGGCGGCGAAGGCCAGGAGACCCCCAAGGCTGCAGTACCAGCTGCCACTCCTACAGTAATGACGAAAGGCCACAATCGGAGACCATCTTCAGTGAGTGTGACTTCTACAAATTCATCGTCGACTCTGAGCGATACAGACTCCGAGTCTGGCAGCAACGAGATTGATTCTGGAATTGATGAAACTTCTCAAGAAGAGGGTAAATCTGAACGGATCGCTCTGGACTTCAAAAGACATTTGCATGGTCTCACCAATTCATTACGTCACATGACAGAAGCTGCACAATACCTCACCTGGCGTTATCAGTACGACATTGGTGGCCCAGTTTAACCTACTACTAACTTTAGGGCAATGAACTGAAATTTTATATTAAGTATAATTAATTTTTTGGATACAGGGCGACTCTTTTCTGACTGGATCCTCTCCAGAGGGTATTTGATACAAATTCGGTAATTCGAGCGTACTTTTTTATTAACACTGTATACTGCCGGTTGTTTGAATTAAAAATACTTGTTATGCATAGAATTACTAAATTTGTTATTACTAAATGGTTATTACAAAAATAAGCCATTAATAAATAGTGGAAATAGAGTCCAATGTTTGAACCTTGATGAACACCTGAAGGAACTTCAGTAAAACAGAAGAAAAATAAACTTGGATTTATCAATTAGAATTTCGTGATCCACTATCAGAGTCATGTGTAACATTACGTCTATTTGTCCACTATTTTTCTGAGTTATATCAAGTAAATAATGATAAAATATAATGTTCAAATATGTATTCTCTGGTGAACTATTTAAAGTTCTTTCTAGTATAAATATGTTTCTACTAGGTGCCTTATCCGAATCTTACTATATTTTTTTCCCTGGTTAAATTGCAATCTGTCTTAACAAAAGATTGCCATGTTGCTGAGAAATAAGGTATTAATCCTAGCAATGCATTTTTTAAGAACTAAAAAAAATTGTGTAGGTATTTGTTACCTAAACCAAACTATACAATTTTTGTGCCAAAATGTTTCAAGTTTTCTTTGACCTTCAACCGTTTGTCAGTATTGAAATTATATTTAATAAATTTTACAACTATTTATAATCATATGAAAACTTAAAACAGCATTTCCAACAGCAACTGATTAAAATTAAATATATATTTTTTAAATCGTTTGTTTATAAATTTAAATATGCTTTAAAAGCCACACCAAATCACTGCTAATATCAAATGATTAAAATGAAAGACTGGTAAATAATATTAAACAGTAAAGTAGTATACAGTGTTAAATAGTTAGAATTGTTTCGTACTAGACAGGCTTTTCTACTGTCCATGTTATTTATATAGGGTGAATCTTAAGTTAATACTTTTTTAATTGGGTATAAAAGTCATTAAAAAACTGTTTTGAAAAAAATCAAAAATTAGAAACTTACAATTATTTATTCCAAAATGTATCCAATACGGTTCTGTCTAGTTTACATTAAGAACCATTCACAAAACTTAACTGAATCTTCAACTTGCAGTGCTTGAAACATATTGAACGTGAAAGGGACACAGTTGATTTTCCCGCAATGTTGTCAACACTTTTCTTTGACTCTGACTTATTCCATCTGATCTGTAGTGACCAGCTATAACATTTAAAATGTGTCTAAACGCACTTTTCTACTTTCCATAAATATTGAACATCTATTCATTAGATACTTTAGGTAAATAATTGAAATCAGATGACACATGATTGAGTTACAATATCCAGTACAGAGTAAATCATCATTTATGCATAAAAAAATCTGAAAGAAAGGATAAAACAAACAGCTCAACATTTATTACTGGTCGGCTCAGATTTAGATTATTTTGTATATTTCTTATTTTTGATGTTAATCACTTCTATACACAGTTAAAAAACTATTAACTTAGCATTCGCCCTGTATATTTCGGTACCATAGTCTTGCAAATCGGGAAATTAACTCCAAAACTGCTATAATAATGAAGCATCATTTGTTTATCATTTTATTATCTCTATTTTGAATTTGATATGATTTAGCTAATTTATGAATACAGCATTGATTTGCAAGTTATGGTTTTATATCTTTTATTGAACCTCTAGAGCATTTATAAAGAGAAACAATTATATATTATTTTAATTATTCTCGAATCCTTAAATTGATTAAAAACAGGTTTTTTAATGAAAGAAATTATTTATTGTTGCATGTCTACCAAATGTTAATTTAAAAACTGTATTATAGTTAGTTTTTTTTTTGTTATAAATAATTTGTGTCAAATATAAAACAGAAAGTGCGATAACTCTCTGTATAATTTGGAAAAGTGATACCTATTTATATACTAGATTATCTATTTTTGCTCATAAAAGTATGAATCTATTTATTTTTAAAATGTTTAGTATTATTGTTTATTTTACCTCTGTATTGTTTTAATTTATAAAAAAAATATTATTGAGGTTTATATGCGTTTTTATATTTTCCTTTCAAAGAGTGTGTAAATGAGGTAGTGCATTCAATGCAACTAATGACCTGTTATATACGAGGCAGGGGCACCGACTCCGTGGGTGTTTGGGGGCATCAGCACACATGAAAAATAATAGTGGATGTAGAGCACCCATTGAAGTTATTATTTGTAGTTTATAGTTACTTTTAACTCAAATAGAGACCACGCAGGATTGATTGGCCCACCAAGTCGTATAAATCTCCAGGGTCGTATGTAATTTATTTAATTCTACTACAGAAGAGTAAGGATTTTTTAATGCCACATCTACGCAAAATCTTTAGAGCATGTATTGTTGCCTGGAGATACATTCCAACAATATGGAAAAAAGCAAAAATAGTCTACCTTAGCAAAGTAGATAGGATCACAGACCTAACTCCAAAGTCATATCCCCCTATAAGCCTATTCTCTTTATTAAAAAAAGCTAGAAATATTGATATATATCATATCAGGTACGAGTTATTAGAAAGAAATCTGCTCTATCCCAGCCATGAAAGTCAACTGGCTGCTTTAAACGTCACTTTCTCAGATATCGAAGGAGCTTTCAATAACGAAGTCTCTTGAACAGAAAAACGTCCCAGTAACAACGTGCCAATGGATTACTGCCTGTCTAGAGAATAGGATCATTTTATCCACTCTAGGAAAGGCAACCATACAGGCAAAAATTACACGGGGCTGCCTACAAGGATAAATACTATTTTCAATGCTGTGACCAGTTTTAGTGGACGACTTATTCAAAACATTGTCCAAAGAAGGCTAACAGTGCCTAGAATACGCGGACGACCTAGAAATTATCGTTAGGGGGCGATTTGCAGGCACAGTCTTGGAACGATTCCCAAACTGCTCTAAAGACATACTGAATAATTGGTTCAAAAAGAAGCAATTTTCCATTAACGCACAGGAAACAGTTATACTATTCACAAAAAAAGGGTACTTAGAGGACTAAGACCACCAGAGGCGGCTACTTTAGAAAGGCACCTCCCCATATAGGTACTTAATACAAATATATATTTCTATTGGAATACAAAAAGCAGAAAAATTACTTTGTAGGGTGTGCCAGCCTCCACGTAGACTAGGTCACGAGGCGCCACTGAAGACCACTAGTACTAAACAACTTCCTTTTGTCATAGAAGTCAAATACCTCGGAGTCTTATATAACGAAAGACTAACGTGGAATAAACATCTCAAAAGAAAAACTCGCATACAGAGCTATAATAGCTTTTGTAAGCTGTAGAATATGCGGGGAAAACTGGGACACAAGCCCCAAATTGACAATATGGGTACAAATAAGGATAATAACTTATAACACAGTGGCGTGGGTAACCAAATATATCTAGCTAAATCAAAAAACGGCCATCTTGCATTATCTTGAAGCTAACAAATGACAATGGGGGTCTATTCTGTAACAATTCTTTTATATTTAACGGCCTTTAAAAATATTTTCTTCTTTACTTCTGTCATTATTTAAACGGATTTTTAAAATACATTACAGGACTATCTTAAAGAAATCTGTTTAAATAATGACATAAGTAAATTAACGAATACAAATATACTTTTAAAGGCCGCCAATATTTTTAAAGGCCGTTAAATATAAAGGAATTGTTACAGAATAGACCCCATTATCAACTATCATTTCGAAACGATCGCCATGCCGTTAATTACGTTGCTACTTCCTGATCTCCTGTTTCCAAAACCACATCCAAACATGTGGATTTATATACATCCCAGACAGCACAAAAATATTGCATGAATATTCAATGCATATCTCAACTGCATACTCCTATATTCCATGGATATGCCATATCCGCCATGGCATATGACAGGAAGATTGCAGGAATATTCAAGGTCACCATGAAACATATGCCCACAATATGTTTTTATCTGCCAAAATATATGTATGGCATATTCTCTGGATTTACTGAGGATATCTGTGTATGCCTATATTCATGGTATTTTGAATATTCATGGCATATTCAATTTTTTTTTTGAAATGCCGTACCATAGTTTAGAAAATAAAACCCATACTTAAACACAAAATAAATTTTATTTTAAAAATAAAGCAAATTTTCAAAAAATAAAACTATACATACAAAAAACTAAAAATTTAAATTTATTTGCTGAGATTCTTCACGTACTTTTCTCCTAAAAAAAATGATATATAAGATATGTATATGTATTATAAGATATTTATAAATTATTTACATTTTGATGCTTTTAATAATAAGTGTTAGAATTCAGATAAAAATATCAGTAAAATAGAAATATTTCAAAACCTTGAGACAAACATTACAGTAATACTTACTTCTATAGCATCTTTGAGTTACTTTATTTATAGGCCTCTACATTTTCCGTTGCCATTTGTGTACTGTGGATTTTCCTACACATCTCTAAAAAAACAAAAATAGGTTTACATGGTGCCTTGTCTGCAAATCAAAAGAGACTCGTCTACCAATTGATTTACACTTCTTGTAAAATATTTATGATTTTAAGCACCACACTGATACTACAGAAGGACCATACATTATAAATAATCAGACTTACCCCTTAGGTGGGTATATCGTAAGAAAAAACAAAAACTACACACTACACGTTTCTATTCTAGTAAATCTGACAATGTTTGGTTATGTGTCATATTCTTTTTTTTTTTTTTTCATTAGTGGCCTTCACCGTTTAGAGTATTTGACCAGGGTATCATGAATAAAAAATATTCCTCGCAATCGAACTTCCCGTATAACAAAGACTTACGTTCGACGATAGGCTAGATTATGAATGGAGCCAATAAGACACTATTAGGTAATTTTTACTACCAACTACCAATACGTAGAATCATTCTTTTGTCCTTTTCTTGTCTACATTATAGGAAACTATACATACTTATTTTATCTATGAAGAGAAAGATAATTTGATCTCGGAGGCTTAATTTTTTTTATTAATTGAAAATAAGTTTGCACAATAATGAGTTAAAGTTACATTCCGAAGTTCTAAGTTCACGTTTTTTTTTTTTAATTTAAGTCTTTATAAGCTAAACAAGAATGTTCCTGTTAACTATGTCTTCATTTGTACTTATAGATAATAAAACAAAATAGTTAAATATAACATAATATTCTACAGAGATATCTATACAATATGAAAAATGAATATGCAGAGCATATCAAAAATACATATGTCTGGAATATCCTTCTAGAATGTAGAATATGAAATATATTCAGTGAATATTCCATAAATATTGCAATATATTTTGGCAAATAGGCAGATTGGTGGCATATGCCAGGGATATAGTGTGCTGTCTGGGATATTTCTAAAGGTTGCTAGGGATACTTTTTTATTAGGCATGCTTTACCCATCAACTAAGGCATAAAAATAACTCATACATTTGATGTCTATTTGTTCCAACACAAGCGTAGCTCATACATTTGCTTTCTTTTAACTTCTTACTGAAAAAAAAATATATGAGTTATATTATGTTGGGGGTGTTTGTACACTGCAACCTAAAATATCTATTGTGCCCCCGTCTGTAGCTATCTTCTGAAGGAAGTGTAGGGTTTGGAGTGGCTTCTAGTTAGGCAAATCTCCCTCTTCTATTTGATATGCATTTGGATTTTGAAGCGCTACACATTCCGAGATTTCGTCCTTCTTCTCCTCACAGAAGCTGCACTCACTATCTTCTACTAGTAAAAATTCCTGTGACAATACGTAGCCTGTTCTTGCTCAGGCAGATACAGGCTTCCGATCTTTCCTGGATCTTTATCGGTTGTAAGGAGGTAGGGTTAGGTTTAGCCCAGAACACTGCTGCCTCTTGGGTCTATTGTATTCCTCGTAATCAGGTACTATCTTTGGAATAGTCCTGTGTCTTTGGTTAGTTTTAATAGGTTCCCTATCAAGTGTTCCTGAGGCGTTCTTTCCGGTTCCAGGCCGAAAAGAATGAAACGTCGCCTAGTAAGAGCTTCGCATTCGAAGATCACATGGTATGAGGTTTCTTTTTCTTCCATGCAGAGTCTACACGTAGGGGGATCATTGTGTAATCCCATCACATGAAGGTGTTTCAGCAAGCAGCGCCCCGTTAGTAATCCCACAATGGTGGATATCTGAGGCCTTGCAAGTAGTAGTGCCTCAGTAGCCATGCGTAAGTTTGGTCCCCTTAGCATAAGCTTACTGATTCTGTGCCCTCTTATTTGTTGCCAGTGAATTTGGTGTTTTGTGGTTATCCACCTGTTCACTGCCTGTCGAGCAGAGGTTTTGCTTATCTCAAATACAGGTTCGGGTCCTGTGAATGGTAGATCTGATCCCTCTTTGGCGAGTTCATCAGCCTTTTCATTTCCTTGGATACCTCTGTGCCCTGGTACCCACGCTAATTTTACCTTGTTGTGGGTTGCCAGATCATTTAGTATTCCAATGCAGTTCCAGACAAGTTTTGACTTGATTCTGTTTGAATCAAGAGCCTTTAAGGCTGCTTGGCTATCTGAGAGAATTAGGATGGTTTGTTTTTTGTACTTCCTTCTTAAATTCTCTCGAAACACAATTCGATTGCATCTATTTTAGCCTGAAATACAGTGGCATGTTTTCCCAGTGAGACGATGATATCGCATTTGGGTTAACTCCATGTACGCCAGAGCCTGTTCCCTTGTTAGTTTTAGAACCATCCGTATACCATACGAGACCGCTAAGCAAGTATTTATCTATCTTCTTATTTACCTCGTTCCAGTTACAGTTGACCTGGAAGAGTTTTTTAAAGGTTAGGAGGGGTGTCATGTTATCTGATCCCATATTTAATATAAAATCATTTACTTCATGTGTTATTCTGGTATGTTTTATATGTCCCACTGGGTTCCAGTTGTTGGAGATTTCCAGTCTGTATGCACTCATTCTGGCCTCCCCCTTTAGGTCAAGGGGTGGGAGGTTTAGAATGATTTCCATAGAGGCTGTCGTTGTACTTCTCAGTGCTCCTGTAATACAAAGGCAAGCCAGCCTCTGAACTTCTGAGAGGGTATTGAGGGCTGTTTTCTGGTTTACTTTTGGCTACCAAACAACCGCACCATAATTTATCATGGGTCTTGTT